ACTTGAGCCCTTAGTATAAGCCCCTCTTTCTTTTCCCTCCTTCCCCACCCTCCCATCCTTGTGAGCCCTTGATAAATTATAAATTATTATTACTTTAATAGCTTACTCAGTCCCCATCTCCCTTCACCCACGTTTCTGTTGTTCGTCCCCCTGGTTGTGTGTGTGTGTGTGTGGGGGGGGTATATGTGGATCCTTGCAATAGGTTTCCCCTTTCTCCCCCCACCCCCGCGGCTTCCTACTTTCATGGTATTGCTACTCCCATTATTGTTCCTGGGGGCGGGGGTTATCTGTCCTGGACTCTGTGTGTGGAGAGCTCTTATCTGTACCAGTGTTTGTTCCTGGGGGCGGGGGTTATCTGTCCTGGACTCTGTGTGTGGAGAGCTCTTATCTGTACCAGTGTACATACTCCAGCCTAGCAGGGTTTGTAAGGTGGAACTGGGGTCATGATAGTGGGGTGGGAGTCAGGGGGAGGAAGCATTAAGGAACTCAAGGAATGTTGTGTGTTTCATCTGTGTTATACTGCACTCTGGCTGACTCGTCCCTTCCTTGTGACCCTTCTGTGAGGGGTTGTCCAATTGTCTACAGATGGGCTTTCAGTCTCTACTCTGACCCCACTCATTCGCATTGGTGTGATTGTTTTGGGTCTTCTGATGCCTGATACCTGATCCTGTTGACACCATGTGGTCACACAGGCTGGTGTGCTTCTTCCATGTGGGCTTAGTTGCTTCCCTGCTAGATGGCCACTTGTTTAACTTCAAGCCTTTAGGACCCCAGACGCTATATCTTTTGATAGCCTGGCACCATCAGCTTTCTTCACCACATTTGCTAATGCACCCATTTGTCTTCAGCAATCGTGTTGGGAAGATGAGCCAGGTGATTAGAACAAAGTGTTCTTGCATTGAGGGAGTACTTGATTAGAGGCTTAATATCCATCTGCTTCCTTAATACTTATCAATATATGTACATAGGCCTCTATCCCTATCATTATATATTAATGTATTTACATATATACATGCCCATATTTATACCTCTATAAATGTCTTTTGTCTCTTAGGTTTTTCCTCTGTTTCCTTCTACTTTCCTGCTGTCCCACTATCATTTTTGACCTTCATTCAGCTCTCAGTAATTCCTCTTGGCTACATTGCCCTTTATTGAACCTCACCAGGCATTCTACATCCTCCTCACCATCGATTTTAGGTCTCTTGTTGTTTTGTTGTCCCTGGGTTTGTTGGCTCCTCTGTCCCTTTCCCCTCCCTCCCCCTCTCCCTGTTATGGGAAACAGAAGGATTTCTCCCAAGTTGTCTCCCCTAAATATGTGCCAGTCTTAGCTGCTTGAGAATGACTGTACACTTGGAGGTCATCAAGAGTGGATTAGGGGTCATTCTCCTTAAGAGCTATCAGCCATCCAGAGCTGGCAGACACTACTGTTTATCCCACAAGTAGGACCCACTCCCTTCTGATAAGGATAGTAGTTGTCTGTTTCCTTGTAGGAGACACCAGAGAGGTCAAACTCACCCAAGGATGACCAAGCTTAGACTGCCATCATGAATCTAGGATCCTCCCATCTTGTCACATGTATACCCCTAGACCTTTCCATTCCTATGAGCGCACCCCTAGCTCATCCCTTCCTGTTACGCTTATACCTATCATAGATCTCCTTCCTACAATGTGTATGCCTATTGTACTGCCCCTTCCTGTGACGTGTGATTCTGTAATCATGTCCCCCTAAAATGATATAATGCTTGGTCAGTAATAAAGAAAAGGCTCTCCCTGGTCCTGGCTTCCCAGGGCTTTCTCCAGCTCCCGGGGGACTGGGAGCGCTTCCCGGTTCTTGGCCCCCGAGGCTGCTCCTGCCCTCGTGGCCGGGTTACCCACACGTGGACCATCAAATGGGGCTGAGGTGAGCAATGCTACCATGAATTGTGTCTGACTCCATTACTTGACTCTATCTTTCACCTCTCATGCTCTCTATGACTTTACTATAATCTTTACTTATTATCGCTGTACGATTGCACCTACCGGACCTGTGATGATTTGTGGGGGACCCCTCTCCCCTTAACCCCACACCCTGTCCTCCTGAACCTAGGTCCCATTGTCTTCTTTCAGGATTGTGCTATTTTGCCTATCTTATATAGCTAGACATGAAAAAAGAAGAAGAAAACACAAAGGGTCTATACGTAGTATAGTATACATAGTATACATACCAGGCCTGTCTGCTGACCCTTATGTATATTTTCCGATTGAGTCTGATGAGGTGCCAACCCCTGCCCTCCGAGTCTGAAGCCTATTTTCGGGATTCCTCGGGCACTTAGTAGCTTTGCTTCCCTGGCTGCTCTATTGCACTCCATTCATGTTTCACCCCAGTGGGGTGTGTGTGTGTGTGTGTGTGTGTGTGTGTGTGTGTGTGTGTGTGTGTGTGTGTGTGTGTGTGTGTGTGGGGGGGGGGGCAGGGGGGGCGTTCAGACTGGGCACCATTCCTGCACTGTGTCTCCAGTGCTGTCCCTGCAGCGCTGTGGGTCAGTCAGGGGACATCATGTCTCATGGTGGGGCTGGCCCTACAGTCCTGTCTGTGCCTTGGCTGCTCTGAGCAGGAGTGTCATCCTCGGGGCTTGTTGGACCAGTATACTGTTCTCTCTCTCTCTCTCTCTCTCTCTCTCTCCTTCCCTCTTCGTTTGCTGGCATGTGGTCTGGGCAGACCTGCCCCTCTCCTTCCCGGCATGTATCTTCAGTGCTGTCCTCTGTATGCAATCTTGTGGGAAGGGGTCAAGGTAGCTGGCATTGGGGCAGCCCTGATGACCACTGCTTCATGCTTTTTCATGCATTTGCTAGCCATTTGTACTTCATTCTCAGTGTACTGTCTGTTCCTATATCTTTCCCCATTTCTTAGTTGGGTGTCTTGTTATTTTTTTATCGAGCTGTTGTAGAGTTCTCTATATATTTGGCAATTAGCTCTTTGTTTGATGTGTCATTGGTAAAACATTTTCCCAATCGATGGGCTCTTGTTTCACTCTCCTGATGAGGTCCTTGATGTGCATAAGTGATGTCATTTCAGCATGTCCCAATCACCTACCTTGTCTTCTGCAGTGTGTGCCTCCTCCACTGTACTTGGTCATCTATGTATGCCCTGCAATGGGCCCTTAGGTTTGTTCCAGCCTTCTCATTGATGATCCTGAGAGCTTTGGGGTTTACATTAAGTCTTTAATCCAACTTGAGTTTGTTTTCGTGCATGGGGAAAGGTATGGGTCTTGTTTCATTCTGGTGCTTATGGAAATCCAGTTTGTCCAACACCATTCGTTGTAAAGGCTGTCTTTTCCCATTGGATCTTTCTAGGAGGTCCTTTGTCTAAGACCAGATGCCTGCAGGCTGACGCGGGTATGTCTGGGTGTTCTGTTCTGACCCATTGTTCTACACCTCTCTCCTTGTGCCAGTCACAGGCTGTTTGGTCTACTGGGGCTATGTTGTAGGTGGTAGCTTAGGCAGTGCTAGGCCTCCTAGTCGGTTCTTCTTTTTAAGAAGTTCTTTGCTTATCCGGGATCTTTTGCCCACCCATCTGAAATTGGTGATTAGACTTTCCATTTCTTTACAGAATTTATGTGGGACTTGCACCGGTATTGCATTGTTTTAGGTAGTGTTGTCTTTTTCACAACATGAAGTCTGCCTCTTCGATGCTGTCAATCTTTATGGGAGCAGAAAGCCTCAGAGGCTCTGGTGGTTTTGAACTGCTGATCTTTCAGGTAGCAGCCCAAGGTGCTACCCACAATGCACCAGGGCTCCTCACAAGAGCATGACAAATAGAGGAACAGAACCCCCACTTTGTTTAATACAACTACTCAAGTGCCAAGGACCGTGCTGGGCATCATGGGAGTTTATACACACACACACACACACACAATTTGGCTAGGAGTCAAGGGATGACATACACATGAAAGGGTAAGGAGCGACGTAGGGCTGGGTGTTTCATGGGCCTGCATGTGGACAGAACACTGCTTTGACGTGCTGACTTCGTTCCCATCCAGAGGAGGTTGCTATTGGAGGAGGCTGGGTTTTAACCAGCGCTGATTTCAAGGGGGGAGATGATCTATAGAGCTTGAGGGATGGAAAGATCTCTATTGTGGTCGATCCTGACTAGAACTCCCAAGGTAGTGTAAATAGTTAAGTGCTAGAACACCAGCTGTAAGGCTGGCAATTTGAACCCACTCGGAGGTGGAAGACAAGCCTGGTGATGTGTTTCTGGAAGGCGATCGTTCTGAAAACCCTCCGGGGCAATTCAACGCTGAAGGAATGGAGTCACCATGGGTAGGAGTCAATATGGTGGCACGTAAAAATCACAATGGGGAGGGCATGTGGCAGATCTAGATCCCAGCTTCTGAACTTGCTATGCGATCTTGGTCACTTAGTTGTGACCGCCTGTTGACTTATTTGTTCTAAGTCTCTATTTCTCCTTAAGTACAAGCAATAACAATCCCCAATAGGATTATTTTTCGTTGGGTTCAAACAGATAATATTTATAAAGTCAATACCTGCATCAATAAATGTAGTTTTGGGCCATTGTTATCATTTGAAATTCATAAGTGCCGTGCCCCAAATATTTAAACATTTGTCATGTACTGGTCTTCAATGTGCATGAATACATAATGGAAGGAATTATCTTAAATGTGAGTTTGATAGTGCTCGTCATTAATTCTCATGAGAGTCATTGTCTTATCTACGCATCAAGTCTTAGCAGTAAAGGAGTGAGTCCCAACTCTTCACACCCCTGAGGTTTCAGAACGAGCATTTTCATTGCTGTTAGCATTCCAAACTTGCTCAGTGCATACAGACCCGCCATGCATAGGGTGCTGTGTGTTTCTAGTGTAATCCCCACTCCATACTCCCTCTGGGAAAGATGCTTTAGACCCAGAGGCCAACGACTAAAAGGAATGGGCTGGTCTCTGAGAAGGAAGGAGCCACCTTCCCCTGTACTTCCTTGTCCCGAGCACCCATTTCCAGTTGACCATCAGTTCCGGTTCCAGAGTTTATTACAAAACAAGTCTGAGGAAGAGTCACTCGTCATAGAATCTCGGCAGCTCGTTGCCCAGGATCACTCGATGATCCACACCCGCAGCGGTGATAGTGACCAGGTAGATGACGCCCCCACTAGAGCCATCCCGGCTCATGGCCAGAGTGATCGCTGCAGAGGGTTTTGAAGAGATGGAAAGAGAATGGCTTAGTGTCAAAAGCCTTTTCCTCCCCGCCTGATCATATCAAATCTCTGAGCACTGTCAGCAATCAACCCCCGCCTCCCAAAGAGGTGCATTTATTCGTGTGCTGGCAAACTAGCTGGAAAGGCATGCCACGACATCGAAGCATCTTCCAGTGCCCATGCGCACATGCTCGATGCCAAGTTCAATAAGCAGCTCAAAAAGCTCCTTCACATTTACTAATTGGCTCTTGTGAGCTGGTCCAAGCCAGTTTTAGCACACTAGTGCGTGTAGTGACCCTACATCTTAATTTGGTTTCCTGAGAACAGTCCTTAACCAGGCCTCTTTTCCTGAAGTCCCATCTAGTTTAGCATTTGCCCTGCCCGCTTCTTCTCTCAGAAGTGTGCCAGTTGTGGTCTTAATACAAGGCTCACCCACATATTTCTCTTCTCATCATGTTTCATCTTCCTTTTGTGTTAAAAAATAAAAAAAGTAAAAAAAAAACAAACAACCACCCAGCTTCCCTTCCATTTGGCCAATTACCATCTGTGGTGAAGCGCCTGCATTCCTCAGGGGACATGCCTGCCTTATATGCCGCGTCCACATAACCGTAGATATAGCTGCTGCCAGAGCCCCCAATTGCAAAAGGCTGCCGAGTCAGCATTCCTTCCAGGGTTACATATACCTAAGGGGGATATCGTTAGTTCAAACTAAAGAAGCACTTGTTCTCTTCTTCCCACGGAGACAGAGAAGCAGGTCGCCTCAGACTCGACCACGAAGGTGGTGTCTTTGCTGTCCATTGCTAGGACAACATATGACCACCCTCCTCCCCGCCAGAGACGTGGGGAACCAACCCCAAGAGGAGAGAGTGGGCTGGGAAGGACTCACTTGGCCCCCCTCACGTTGGTCCCAACCAGCTACCATGAGATGTGCAGACAGGTCTTCTCGATACTTGTAGGTGATATTCTTCACCACGTGGGCAGCAGCCATAACAACAGGAGGTTCTTCAACTTCCATCCTGAAGGAATTGGTAGGGACAGGAGTTGATATCATTGCCTCAAGTCCAAGCTCCTGCGCCATCGGTATCATCCCTGCCAAGTGGCACTTAGACCTACAGCTTAACAGGTCTAACTCCAACTGAGGTCTCATGCCACCCATTAGAAGACCTTTCGGTTGTCCGTTCGCATCCTCTAAGCACATACTTCCCTGTGTCTGTAAGGTCCCTGCTCTGTGTGGGTAAAGCCACATCAGCTGCGCTTCTGTCCCAGCAACCTTGATCTCTCACAGAGTCACGGTGCTTGCAGCAGCTCTGGTGGGGTAGTGGTTAGGCACTGCGTTGCTAACTGCAAGGGCTCACCTGCTGAGTGGAAGAAAGACAGGGCTCTACTCCCGTGAAGAGTTAAAGTCTCAGGAACTCACAGGATCCGTTCTACCCTGGCCTCTAGAGGTGCTATGAGTCCGCATCAACTTGACGGCAGTGAGCGTGGCGTTGGGGTTAACTTTGCCTGGGCAGGGAAAATGAAGTGCTCGACTACTACTTAATGGTTTTGGGTTGGGATCCATGCTGAGGTGCCTCCGAATAGAGTCTTGGTGATCCACTTCGGAAAGGTCACAACCTTGACAACTCTAGGAAGCACAGCTCTCCTCTGGCATACATGGGTCGCCGTACATTAGCATTCACCTGCAGGCACCTCGCAGCAACCACTTTGCCTGAGTGGTGCAGTCTATGCGCTCCACTGCTTACCGAAATCTTGCAGGTTGAGTCCACCCAGAGGCACCAGGGGAGGAAATCTTGGTGGTCACCAGGAATTGGAGCTGCCTCCACAGCAACTAGAACTCTGCCTGATATTACTGACGAGGGAGCCGCACTACCAGTCACTCCCCCCATTATTTACGGGGAATGCAACATTTCAAACTGCTTTCATACACAGAATTTGATTCCCAAAATAATCATGTTTGCTTACTACAATTACATGGGACCAGCTTCCTAAATGCCAAGGAAGGTGCTGGGCCTCATGGGAGCCTACACACCCACAACCTGGCTGTGAGACAAGACATGTGATATGAGACTGGCAATTTCAAGGGCCAGTGTATGGAGTCCCACTCCTTCCCCACGCCCATCAGAGGGTGCTCATGTCCTTCGGGTAAACCTTTGCTCTGAGACACTAGCCTGTGTATGGCAGACCTGCCTGGAGACAGGTGACGACAGAGCCCAGCCCTGAAGGGAAGGGTCACAGTCCTACCGATGGCCATGGAACGGAAGCTGACTCATCGCGCCCCTGTAGGACACAGACTATAAACCTTTATGGAGACAGACGGTCTCAGTTCTCCTCTATGGAGTGACGGTGGGTTCCGACCACTCCCTTTGTCTTTGTCGTTAGCTGGCCTATGCTTAACTCATTGTGCCACCAGGGCCCCTGGAAGGGTAGGGTGGATACTGTAAGCCCTACTATATAGATACAGAAACTGGCTTAGAGAGATTCAAGTTGAGTTTGAAGTTGGAACAACAACAACAAAATCCCCCCCCCCCCAATCTCCGCACTTCCCAATGCAGGGTTCCACAGGCACTTGGACTCTGCCCGTTGGGAGAGGTCTAGCGGGTGGAGTCAGGGCTCCAGTGCCGGTGGAGAGGCGTACCCGTGGAGCTCCAGCTGGTAGGTGGCCATGTCTGCTATGGCCTGGGCATCCGCAGCCGATCCGGAGAGGGCACAGTAGATGCGCTGGTGTAAGGGGGCCAGTTTGTCAAACACTCGGTTCACCACCGCCTGTCTGCCAAGAAGCAGTAAATGATCATCAACGTTGGAGTTGCCAGGCAGTTTTGAGGTAAATCACCCAGTGCCCGTCGAATGGATTTCATAAGCGAACAGCCCTAGAGTGTGTGAAATGGAATGCTTGGATTGAAGCAGCAGGAGGAAAAAGATCTCAGCTAGGCAAATGGTGGTATCTGCTAATCAAAAGGACAATTCGTTTCAGGGTGCAGTTTGTATAACTGAAAAAAAATAGTTAAGCACTCAAGAAAGATATGCCTCTTATCAGTTTTCTTTGCTAATTAACCAGGTGGAGGACATTCAGTGTTCTATGGACTGTAACATAAGTGATACCGATCTAATCCCAATTTGGACTCATTTTGCATGTAAAGAAACTGTGACCAGGTGCGGGGCAGAGGTAAAATTAGTTTGACACGTGATCAGTGAGAAACCAGATTGATCAGTTTGGCAGGGCCCTCCAGCCCCCTTCTCGGACCTCACACAGTCCTTACGTTAATCCCTGTAAACTGCCAGCCTAGGCCATGGAAGCATTCAGAACCGAGATCCTGCTCCATGAATCAAGAGACCCAAGCATCCACCCAGCATCTTTTTATTATGGCCTCTTCTTTTTGGAAGGGCAGCTTTCGTTGATACTCACCCTGCAGATACCCGGGAATCAGAACCCACCACGACGCCCCCATCAAACTCCACCGCCATGATGGTTGTCTGTGGAGACACAAGGAGTGGGGTCTCAGAGCCTCGATCAGCATGGGAAGAAGAGGCCTGCCCAGAGAAGGGAAGTGACCGGCTCATGGACATAAAGTAACCCAAGGCAGAGCTGACTCCCACCAAGAAACCAAACCCGCTGCATCCAGCTCGTTGCTGAGACTGTGCATCCTTCCCGGAGCAGACAGCCTCATCCTTATCCCGTGGAGCCGCTGGTGGGTCTCCCCATCATTTCCACTTTCTTCTTTCCCTCACCTGGCTGCAGGAGAGTGTCAAGCCTGGCTATGGTGTAACAGAGAAAGGACCACATCCCTAAGCTCCAACTTCCCCAATTGGAACACTTTTCACTCTAGAGAGAGGATGAGGCTTTTAGAGGTGAAGTGCTCCCTTGAGGAAAGAGCTCACAGAGGTGTGTGTGGAGTAGCCCAAGTGAGTGCTCTCCAGCGCAGTCTCTTGTCCAGTGCGGCCAGTGTGTGTGAACACAGAGCAAGTTATCGTGACTTTGGAAACCAGGTCATGTTCCCCCCACCCTGTGTGTGTGTGTGTGTGTGTGTGTGTGTGTATGTGTGTGTGTATGTGTGTGGAAGGGGCCAGATCATCTAGGAACAAGACCTTTATGTTTTTTGAACAATGGGAAACACTGGCCAAAGATGGGAAGCAGATCCAGGCCAGGAATAGAAGGAAGGAAAGCGAAGATCACGTGAGACCATTTACAATGGTCTTTCATACAGTTCCTCACGTGGTGGTGACCCCCAACCATAAAATCATTTCGTTGCTACTTCCTAACTGCAATTTTGCTACTGTTATGAATCATCAAGTAAATATCTGACAGGCAGGATATATTTTCATTGTTGCAAATTGAACCTAATTAATGCGTAGTGATTAATCACAAAACAATATGCAATTATAGATTGTGAAATATTTATTTCTAATGACAAATAAATGAAATTTTGTCTTGAAGCATGGTGTAGCGTCGGCAACAGCCTTAATATAACAACAGTAAACTACAGTGCTACATGTGGAGACAGTCTGCATAACAAGCCAATGTCAGTATGAAGGTTGAGCTAGAGGAGCGGTGTCTCGGTTCCTAAGACCATGAGAAACATGTGTTTTCTGATGATCTTAGTGAAAGGGTGAATTGACCCCAAAGGGGTCGCGACCCACAGGTTGAGAACCGCTGGCTTAACGTGTTTCTGCTCAGAAGGCAGTCGATTTCTGAAGCGGCTTTCAGAAAGGCTGTGCCCGGGGACTTTGAGCTGACATTTCCAGGTCGAGAAAAAGAAGCAGGATTGCGTTATCTTTGCTTCACTCCTGTCCTGTTGGAAGGAACCTTAAGGACCGTTTGTTTTCAACGAGGAAACTGAGTCACAGAGGGAGCAAGGGACTTATTCAGGATGATGATGGAGCGTTAAGAGCAGAGCTGTGACTAAAACTCGGGCTCCACTCCTATGGGTTGCTCTGATTTCTCCCCTTGCGCTGCTCATTTGGCACTGCGGGGAGGCTTTCTAACGTGCAAATGGCTTATCTGCGGCTGCCTTCACCCCCCCCCCAGAGTTCGTCAGGCCCTCAGGGATGCTGACTACAGAGGTATGGTGAGCAGAAAGAGGTGCCAGAGGACCCGGGCCTTTCTACACGTTTTTACTCCACAACAGATCTGCTTCGAAACCAAGAGTGGTGGCAATAGTCGGGGAGCAGAAGTTATCCAGTCTTGCGACTGCCATTTGCCCTGGGTACGCAGCTGGGCAAAGTCCCCCAGCAGGCTTGTAAGAGCGAGCCCGGGAGACGCGGCCGGGAGCGTGGGCAGTGCCCGGGGAGGCGCCGCTGGCCGACACGGAAGCCCGTGGCCAGTGCTCAGACAGAGTTACTGGGGAGCCGGTTATCAAAGGTCCGTGTCATGGGTTGGCTATCCCCAATCAGTGCCCTTCTCCCCAAAGCCTCATGACTTCCCTGGGGCATCATTGCGCCATCTGGGCTCCCCGCCCCACACTCTCCCTCCATTTGACCAGCCCCCTGAGCGGACAAACCAACCCACGGGCCTGCCAGGTGGTTCCTCCTCGGACACCGCAGGTCGCAGGATTGCCCCCTAGCATTTCTGAGGCTGTAAGCCTTCCCGGGAGCAGGTGGCCCCATCCTTCTCCCACTAAGCAGCTGGCGGGCGGGGGTGTGTGTGGGGGGTCGGGACGCTTCACACACTGAGCTACCCAGGCTCCCTTGACCAGCCAAGAATGAAAGCGAAAGTGCCTTAGAACCGCTTCCCCTTGACGGTTCCTGCGAGGCGCCAAGGCACCCCCCTCTCCACGAGCTGTGCCTGCGCGGCCCTCGGACGACCTCCTTGGGACCGCACACCCTACGTGCACTGCGGGGCGCACCAGCGCTGCTGCAGCTGCAGCTCCCGGCCGTCTCCCCGCACCTCGGCCCCTTGTTACAAGCGCTCCTCGGAGCTTTCAGGGGGTCCCCGCTGACCCCCTTTCTCCATCCCTCTGCCCGCCCCCAGCCCCGGCCCGTTACCCCGGTGTGGACTTCTCCGGTCCCGGGGAGCTCCCAGGCCGGCATTCCCACGCGCAGCATCCCGGCGGGCGCCCGCTGCTCGCTGCCCGGAGCCCGCTTTCTGACCTGGGACAGCGCCCCGGGCCCCGCCTACCGCCCCGCCCTGCGCCCCGCGCCGTCCGGGGGCGCCCCCCGCCCCCCCTCCCTCGGGCTTCCTGCCGCGCCGCTAACCTGTGCGCCCGGGATCTGCCTGGCGACTGGTGACGCGCGAGGCCGGGGGCGGGGACCCGGCACCGCAGACGGAGGGGTAGGTGGGCTGGGCACCCCGGGAAGACGCGCACGGGGCGCTGGATCGGCTCCCCAGACCCTCGCGCCTCGAGCTGCCCCGCCCCCCGACGCCCCCGGGCCCCCTCCCCGTGCCCCCCGCGCCCGGAGCCGGGGCGGGCGGGGTGTCCAAGAGGGCGGACCTCGAGAGCCGGCCACCGCTTTCGATTTCTCTTTCCTCTAAACGGCTGCGCTTCTGCTCAGCGCGTCCCGGCTCCCCCGGGGCTTTCCGCGGTCCCCGCCCCGACGCCGGCCCCCGCGCCCTGGGCACACACAGGGACCAGGCTCAGCAGTCCACCCAACCGGACAGCCCAGAGTCCAGGCCGGGCCGGCGCTCACTTGCCCATGGCTGACCCAGGGCGCCCCGCTCCCGGCAGATACCTCTGCCTCCCCGGAGCTGATGGCGCGTGGCTGGGGGCGACGCTGCTGCTGCTGCTGCTCGTGGACTGGGTGCTGGTCACCAGCGCGCTGCCCGGGCTAGTCTTTCTCCTGGTGCCCCCGGCGCTGCCGCTGCTCCGGCTCTGTGTGGTGGGCCTGGGCCGCTGGGCCGTGCTGTGGCTGGGGGTCCGCGGGGTCCTCGGGGTCTCCGCTGGCTCCAAGGGGGAAAGCGCACGAGGCCAGCGCTGGCTGACCCTTTTGGAGCCGCTGGCGGCGACGCTGGGCTTGGCCCTGCCGGGACTTGCCTTGTTCCGAGAGCTGGGCTCGTGGGCCGTCTCCAAGGACAGTGCTAGCCCCAGACTGCTGTATTGGGCAAGTTGCCCCGACGCCTTCGTCCTCAGCTATGCAGGCGCCCTGCCTGCCGCTGTCCTGTGGTGCAGCCTTGAGAGACGGGGGGCTCCTGGCGACCAGAAAAACTCTGGATCCTTGCTGAAACTACTGCTGCGCTGCGTGGCCCCCGACATTCGCCGCTACCCGTTTGTTCTGGCCCTGCTGATCTTGTCCTGCGTCGGTAAGTAAGCGGGTGGCAGTGGGCGTAGCGGGCCAGGAGACTGGGCAAGAAGTAATGACAATGGCAGGGAAGCAAGCGGTTTGAGGCGGAAGGCGACCCAGCTTGGGTCTTGGGAAGCCCACTCCGGGATAAAGACCACCGGGCTGGGTGGGGGCGAGGAGTCATGGACCGCAGGCCTGCCGCAGACATGACTTCCTCTGGGCCGTGTCCTCTCCTCGGCTTTCACCCTCATCTCTAACCGGAGGGTATTCCAGCCATGCCCCCCAGGTCTTGCTTGTGTTGTGAGTTCCAGGGTAGAAGCCTAGCCCCGATATCTTCTTCCTGGCCCTGGTCTGAAGAATAATGGTGGGGCAGGCTGCTGGGAAGTGACCTGCTTCGATGTAATACTTGTGATGGATGGAGTTCTTTTCCCCCCACCCCAGGGGAAATGGCCATTCCATTCTTCACTGGCCGCATCACTGACTGGATTCTACAGGATGGGACAACGGCTGGCTTCACCCAAAACATAACCATCATGTCTCTCCTCACCATAGCCAGGTCTGGGGGCTGGGGAGGGAAGGCTGAGCTACGCTCCAAAGTCTACTTTTGTGGGGACATGGATGGCCTCCCTCCAACCCCCTGACCTTTTTTCTCCTCCCCCTTCTCCCCCCACCCCAGTGCCGTACTGGAGTTCTTGGGCGATGGAATCTACAACCAGACCATGGGCCACATGCACTGCCGCTTGCAGGGAGACGTGTTTCAGGCTGTCCTTCGCCAAGAGACAGCGTTTTTCCAACAGAACCAAACAGGTTTCTCACCGATTTTCATTACAGATCCACTTACTCATTATATCCCCACATATCATTTTACTTGTAATTTTGATCTCTTTTTTGGTATCAAAAACCTCACTGCCATCCAGTCAATTCCGACTCATCGTGGCTCTATAGGACAGAGTGGATCCACTCCTACAGGCTTCCAAGACTAACTTGTTTTGGAAGTAGAAAGCTTCGTTTTCCTTTGTTCTCTCCCACGGATAGGTGGTTGGTGGTTTTGAAATGCTGACCTTGGAATTCGCAGCCCAATGTGTGACTGCCCCGCCACCAGCCCTCCTTTCTTTTTAATACACACACCGTTGTTTCAGAGTCTTGGTATACTTCCAGCCTGAACAAAAATGGTCCTTTTTACCTACCACAAAATATACTTTTTCCCTTAAGAGCTTCCCCATAAATCGATCCCCATCCTTTAATAAAAACGATGGCATCGCAAACCTGGAAATTCTGAGAGCATGGAGTCCTCATGCCTACTTTTTTCCAGACAAGGAAACTGAGGCCTAGACCCAAATGCTGAAAATTGCCAGCTCACCTGAGAGAAGCTTGGGTGAATGAACCCATTTCTAGATTCCCAAGGCACTGCTGGGTGTAGACACCATCTCTCGCCTCCCACCTCCCTGATATCCATGCAATCAGCTTAAACTCTTCTGCCTATGTGCAGATATCAGGGACTTCAAAAAGTTTGTGGGAAAATGCCATTATCTTTTAAATTCAGTTTTCCCCCTCTTGCACTGCCCCCACCCCATGGACTTTTTGAAGTCCTTTGTACAAGTCCTTTAAGGAATAGAAAGATATCAGAGATCAAAATTTACATTGGCATCAGATTTCTCATCGTTCAAATGAAGGTCTTCCTTCATGCTTCTTGGCTATCATTTTTAGATTGATTCCCTGTTGTCTCCACCCCTCCATATGACCTTGTTGGCCCCAGCCCCCTTAAAACACCATGTTGACACCCCCACTTCCGGCACCCTGGATTATTCTTCTCGTCACTCTGAACCCCATCTCATTTATTCTTCTCCCCAACTTTTGGCAGGTTCCATCACATCTCGGGTAACCAAGGACACATCCACCCTGAGTGAGTCTCTGAGTGACGAGCTGAACCTGCTGATGTGGTACCTGGTTCGGGGGCTGTGTCTCCTGGGGCTCATGCTCTGGGGATCACAGTCCCTCACCATGGTCACCCTGGTCGCCCTGCCTCTGCTTTTCCTTTTGCCAAAGAAGCTGGGAAAATGGCAGGAGGTATGTTCAGGACCCTGGTTTAACCTACATCAACCCTCTGTCTCTCAGACTTGGAAGATTCCATTTCTCTCAACTCTCAGGACAATTCTAGTACCCACCTTGATGCCATTTGCATAATAGAATACAGTGAATCCTTGTTTATCACGGTTAATCGGTTCTAGACCCTACCGTGATAAATGAAATTCCGCGAAGTAGGATTCCTTATTTGTAAATCAAATATTTTCGTAGTTAGAGCATAGAGGACATGAAAAAACACCCTTTAGTCACCATTACACTCGTATTGCCCAATTTATTAAACGAAAAAGGGAAAATACAGTAAAACATTTTGGACGTTACAATTATCATTTATTATATTATTTATGGCATCAAGCGTGTACAGTATGAGCCAATCAGTGGCAGTAATGACAGAGCATGCGCTGTTATGCAAAAACCGCGATAGAGTGAAGCCGCGGAAGTCGAAGCGCGAAGTGGCGAGGGTTCACTGTACCTTGTTTCGGAAGCCTGTGAACCTAGCCGGCTCATTGTGAAGCTGCGCGGTCTCTGTGTCTCCTTGTCCAACATCTGTCCACATTGTGTTTTAAGAATATGGCATCCAGCCCCTTCTGAGCTATTACCTCCCCCTTGGTTTTCTCTAGTGTCAAGCGGCCGGCCCGTGTCTTGTTCTTTTCTCAATTGGTTCTCTGCCTTTTCTTCTGCCTAATCTCCGGACAGGTAACCCAGGTATTTGTGTCCCCTTGTGGCTTCCTAACCCTGTGTGACACCTGTTGTCCATGTCTCTACAGTCGCTGACAGTCAGGGTGCAGAAATCTCTGGCAGATGCGAGCCAGGTCGCCATTGAAGTCCTGTCAGCTATGCCTACGGTGCGGAGCTTTGCTAACGAGGAGGGGGAGAGCCGGAGGTTCAGACAAAAGCTGCAGGAAATGAAGACTCTCAGTCAGCAAGAAGCACTGGCCTATACAGTCAAGACGTGGACCACCACTGTGAGCACCTGGAGCCTCAACTCTACACCCTTTGTCCCTTGACCTTGCTCCCAACTCCTCCTCCACTGCGCATCCTTGGCTCCGGGTTCCCACGCCAGCAACCCGAGGCTCTATTACCGTACTCAATGGCGTTAACCGCTTCCCTCATTTTAGGGGCTTTACATGACTTTTCACAGATTCTGGGACCTGCCTTGGCCTCTCAGGGGAAGGCCAGGGACTGCCCTCCAGGCTCACTATGAATCGGAACAGACTTGAAGACAGTGAGCCTGGTTTGGGCTCTTACAGCTCGCGCCTGCAATCCTCTTCTCTGTGTTCCTGCCACAGATCTCGGGGATGTTGCTGAAGGTGGGAATCCTATACATTGGAGGGCAGCTGGTGATGAGCCGGGCCGTGAGCAGTGGGAACCTCGTTTCATTCATTCTCTACCAGATCCAGTTCAGCACAGCTGTTGAGGTGAGGCCCCCTGAGTTGTACTCCCCAATGCTTTGCCTTCCCCTTTCCCACCATCATCTGCCTTCCTTTCCTTCTATTAAAAAAACCCAAACAAATCATTTTATTGGGGGCTCTTACAGCTCTTATAACAATCCATACATCAATCGTATCAAGCATATTTGTATATGTGTTGCCATCATCATTTTCAAAACATTTTCTACTTGAGCCCTTGGATCAGCTTTTTACCCTCACCCCCCCACCTTCCCACCCTCTTGACCCCTTGATAAAATATAAATTATTATTTTTTTCATATCGTACACTGTCCACTGTCTCCCTTCACCCACATTTCTGTTGTTCATCCCCCCTTGGGGAGTGGTGGTGGTGATATTATATATGTCAATCGTTGTGATTGATCCCCCTCTATCCCCCCTTTCCCACCCAACTTCCTCCTACCCTCCTGGTATCACTACTCCCATTATTATTCTGAGGGGTTATCTACCCTGGATTCTGTGTGTCAAGAACTGTAGCAGTGGGCATACTTCAGTCTAGTCGGATTTGTTGGGTAGAACTGGGGCCATGATAGTGGGGGTGGGGGTGGTGGTGCATTAAAGAACGAGAGGAATGTTATATGTTTCATCGGTGCTATACTGCACTCTGGCTGGCTTGTCCCTTTCTTGTGACTCTCTTTGAGGAGATGCCCAATTGTCTACAGACGGGCTTTGGGTCACCACCTTGACCTCCCTCATTTGTATCGATATGATTGTTTGTTTTGAGTCAGTCTTCTGATGCCTGATATCTGATCCCGTCCACACCTCATGATCACACAGGCTGGTGTGCTTCTTCCATGTGGGCTTTGTTGCTTCCCTGCTAGATGGCTGCTTGTTTGACTTGAAGCCTTTAAGACACCAAATGCTATATCTTTGGATAGCCAGGCACCATCAGCTTTCTTCACCACATTTGCTTATGCACCCATTTTGTCTTCAGCAATCGGGAAGGTGAGCATCACAGAATGCCAGGTCATTAGAACAAAGTGTTCTTGCTCAATGTCCATCTGCTTCCTTAATACTTAACATATCAATATGTGTACATAGGCCTCTGTCCGTATCATTATATATTAATATACTTACAGAAGTACATGCCTATATTTATACCTCTATAAATGTCTTTTGCCTCCTAGTTCTTTCCTCTATTTCCTTTTACTTTCCTCCTGTCCCACTATCATGTTTGACCTTCATTTAGCTCTCAGTAACTCCTCTTGACTACATTGCCCTTGATCGAACCCCACCAGGCGTTCTATACTTTCCCTGTCATTGATTTTAGATCTCTTGTTGTTCCCTTGTCTCTGGGTTTGTTGGCTTTCTCCTCCCTTTCCTCCAC